AAGTAGCAATGGCATTTTTCACAGAACTAGAACAAAAAATCCTAAGAGTTTTTATGGAACCACAAAAACCCCCAAAGAGCCAAAACAATCTCGAGGTAGAACAAAAATGAGAGGTATCATACTCTAATTTCAAACTATATTACAAACCTACAGAAATCAAAACAGAATGGTACTGGGATAAAATACATACATAGAGATCAATGGAACACAATAGAAAGCCCAGAAAAAAACCCATCTATTTATGGTCAATTGGAAGGACTGATGCTGAAGCTGAAACTCCAGTACTTTGGCCACCTCATGCGAAGAGTTGAGTCACTGGAAAGACACTGATGCTGGGAGGGATTGGGGGCAGGAGGAGAAGGGGACGACAGAAGATGAGATGGCTGGGTGGCATCACCGACTCGATGGACATGAGTTTGAGTAAACTCCGGGAGTTGGTGATGGAAAGGAGGCCTGGTGTGCTGTGATTCATGGGGTCACAAAGAGTCAGACACAACTGAGCTACTGAACTGAACTGAACTGAACTGAATCTATGACAAAGCAGGCAAGAATGTACAATGGAGAAAAGACAGTCTCTTCAGTGCTCTTGTGAAAACTGGACAGCTACCTGCAAAAGAATGAAACTGGACCACTCTCATACTATATGCAGAAATAAATTCAAAATTAATTAAACACTCACTCCACCCTAGAACTGGCATAGTACTCTGAGCAGAGCACAGGCTCCATAAAAAGTTCTGACTGGAGGGCGAAATGAATGGATGGACAGTGGGGTGGTGGAGGGATGGGAAAGAAAGCAGTGGATTCTAGGGCCACCACACTGCTCAACTTTTTGACATTTTAGTAACAAAGGCATGCATTTTCTTTGCATCTTAGTTCATCACAAGTATTTATGGGTCCTGAACCTTTATGGACACTTTTAAGCAACAGGAGTGGTCTAAATGCCCTCAAAACTGTGGCTTTTTGCCATCACTCCCTGAATTCTTCATTTCTAGTGAAGGAACAGCAGTCAGAAGAGCTAAATTTAGCTGGTTCTGATCAGAGAAAATGGGCAGCTCAGGGTCAGTAATGATGTCTGTAACCGAAGACCAATAGAGAGGGATGACAGAGTCTGAGCTGGAAAAACAGGATCTAGAGGATGTTAAGCAGGTGACTCTGGACTAGATCTTGGGTGGGGACGGAGCAGATGCCTAACGATTAATATAATTAATATGCTATAATATATTAATTATACTATACTCTTATTAGTCTTTAATAAAGAGATTTATTTCTTCCATTCTTTGTTTCTTGCTCTCAAAAAAATAGCAACTAGAGCTTCAAATCTGAAGCTTGACTCACAGGCCAGATAGCCACTTTCTGTGCCAAACACCACAGTAGCCTAAAGGACTTTGGGTATCACGAAGGGGTTGCAGCTTTGAGATTCAGAAAGAATGTCTAAATAACGTGAGTGAGATTTAAATGCTGCATCCCTGATTCTTAATGGATGGGCTATATCAGACACCGAAATATTCTTTACATCATTCATATTGGATTTGTTAGACTATATAGAAGAGGCCACTTGCAGCAGACTAAGTCAAGACTAAAATTCCTAATGAATCAACATTTATCATAAATTTGGTTTCATATTAAACTACTCTGTTTCAAAAAAAAGCCCAAAATCTCATTAAATAGCTAGAAAGAGCTAGAAGTACATAAATATGCAGATACTATCAACTTGGTGAAATTACTGATGTCATTAGTGTTTTATTGTACAGATAACCTTTCTGCACAATTTAACTCATAACACAACTCATTTTTTTTTAAAGACTTAAGAATCTGAATCTTTCAGTCATGATTTGTCAATCTGCTTCTGAATTAAAAGGAACAAATAAACAAGACCACAAGTATGTCAGTTGGCAAAGAATCTTTCATGGCACTTGGGGAGTTGGTTCTTGACTGAGGTTTGCTTTCTGTAAAATTCAAGAACAGGACAAAGCCTCCTCCCCGACTCCACACCCCCTGGGTTTTTTTTTTTTGGAGAATCCTTGGATTTGTGATGCCCTTTAAAACAGTGAACTTTAATAAATAAATAAAATGTATGATTTACTAAAAATAAATAAATAAATAAATAAATATAACTAAAAGAAAAAAAAAATAAATATATTCTGCCATTCCAAAAAAAAAAAACAAAAAAAAAAAACAGTGAACTTAAGCCTCATTATCAAGTCCATGGAGATTTGGGAAGAGTCCTGAGCATTCTCCAGGGATTACTTGCTACTCTGAAACAAAGCTGGATTTGAAAAGCAATTCTCCCAGGCACCAGAGGGTTGATTAATCTGCCATTTCTCCACTGAGACAAATGAGAGAAGAAGCAATGCCAGCAAACACTGTCCTTTCAAAGGATCCTCAAAAACCAAGCAATCTAGAACACAATCGCCAAGATTTATGAGTCGCAGGAAGTATGCTAGGGACTTCAAAATAAAATAAATTCTCCTGCTTATTTTGGCTGAGTATTTATATTCTTTTCAGACTCTAGCCAGATGGTTCCCCAGTAAGAAAAATTTCCTCCTGGATTCATCTTGGGACAGTCACTCTAGCCTGCTCCCCTCGGCCACCTGGGGCTGGAATGTACTGAGACTGTGGAAACTAATATCTAAATTAGGCTCAAACAAATTTAACCTAGAGGGAACTCAACTTTATAGTAATGATATTTAGCATTTTCAATATTAAGGGTTTTTCTGGTGAGTGAGACAGTGAAGAATCTGCCTGCAATGCAGGAGACCCGGGTTCAATATCTGGGTTGAGAAGATCCCCTGGAGGAAGGCATGGCAACCCACACCAGTATTCCTGCCTGGAAAATTCCATGGACAGAGGAGCCTGGCAGGCTACAGTACATGGAGTCGCAAAGAGTTGGACATGACTGAGTGACTAATGCTTTCACACTTTCATTTTCAAAGCTCCCCAAAAATAATGCTTAGAGAATCTACCCCTTTTTATCATTAAATAATGTAATCAATAATATATAGGGTGCAGATATTTAAACAAATTTCAAATGGGAGAGAGGTATCACGAGCCCATCTTCGAGAACACAAAGGAATCAGGAAGGAAACATGATTTTAGTATCAGTCAGTGACGTCATGTCTCTTCTTCACCAGATGGGTGACATTGACCTAACATCCCTTATCTTCTGTAGTCAGTGCAGGTTCTCCTAGTTTTATGGCAAAACAGTGTTTGAACTGGAGACAGAAGTTCTTTCTGTAGGAAGCTTTGTAATTCAGTCATGGTTGTCCGTTACCAGTGGCAAGGAAGGAAGTCCTTTACTGAGTGAGCTGGCCTCAAACACACCCTCCAACTTATCTTTCTCTCATTCTAAGAGGCTTTAAATTTGACATTTTTGCGATTGTTCTACTTCCTTTCAAACTGGAGAAGAGCAGAGGGAGGCAAGCAGGTGGCCCTTTATTAAGTCCTCAGGACAATCTCCACTTTGCAGAAGAAGAAAGAGGATAAACAATTTTGCCAACATCACACAGCTTCCAAGTCTGACTTCAGAGTCCACTCAGTTCACAGTAACTATCCCTTACCCTCCATCTATAATATGAGGAGAACTGAAAACAAATCTTGCCTTATAAAAAATAATAATGAAACGTCCTAAGTCTGGAGAGCTTGAGTTAATGGATTTATTTTCACTGAATCTGGAAAAAACAGGGTGATTGTTTAAGTCAGATGATTTTTCAAAACTGTAAATACTATAAAAGAAATTTCAAATGTAAAAGCAGAGGTTGAAATTTTAAATTCTGTCTTAACCAGAAGAAAAATCACCTTCATAGTTGTATCTATTTCTAGGACACTGACAAATGTTGTACAGTTTGTGAACTTGAATCCAAGAGATAGGTAGTTATGACCTTGCTGTAATGGTTTTTTACACCATGTACCATTTTTAACATTTACCTTAAAAACAGCAGAATATGCATATGCCACAGGATTATATATTTTTTACTCACAAGGATTTTAGGTAATTACATCATTTCTAGTCTGCAGAGGTTTATGGAATCATATTCACTCTTTCTTCATTGTTGTATTCTAATAAATATCAAGGGAAAATGCTGTTCATTTGTGAAGCACACACATTATTTGCCATAACTGAGAACTTTCTTTCTTTGATGCCATCGTGGTTACCATTCTCAATATCAGTAATTTCAACTAACTTCAGTTTTATAGGTTTAATTTCTTGCCAAAGCTTATGAATGAAACATTCAGTACTTACAAGTATCTTGGGTCAAATGTCCAAATACAGTCTTTTAAGGATTTTTTTTCCCCTGTAAATTTTATCTTTCAATTACCAGATCAATTACTTTTTAAGTCACTGTTACCTAGACTTATATGAGAAAGTGCAGTTATTAGAACAAACAGGTCAGGGACAGGGTGACAGCTGTCTCCCACTTCCAATTCACCACGGAATGAAATCTGACATGTCCCCTGATCCGGCTAAAAATTCACAAACGTTTTATTCATTCTTACACTTTTCCAAATGCATGTATTTTTTTCTCTGCAGTACTTTAAAAAATACCTTGATAGAAGCATGCAGATTTAACCACTGACTCAGGATGGTAAGGTGCACAGACTGGAAGCTTCCTTCAAGGTAGAATTACTTTTTTTTTTTTCTCTGACAACTGCCAGGTGTTTCTTCTCTAAGAACGTTGCAGTAACTAAGTATCTAGGGCAGGGGCCATGACATGAACTTGAAAGGTTCCCAGTGTGAGCTAAGGGCAGATGGTAATGAGACACCAGGTCAGGCCCAGGCCCTTAGGGTTAATGCGTCTCACAGGGCAGCCCTCACATCCCCGGACTTGTTTCCTCGTGGCCAATTGTGGGTGAGAATGCGCATACGTGAGGACCACACGAGGTGTGCAAAGCAACCACCCAGCATAGCAGGGCATGAAGCACTGTGCACGCCTCACTGTTCACTGTCACAACCTATAAAGCCCCCGAAATCAAAGCAGGAAGAGGCCCAGACTCAGACTTACCGACTCTTCGTTCTCAAACTCCGGGTTACACTGCGCGGCCTCTTCGGCCACTGGCTTCTGAACAATGTTCCTACAGACAAGCCAGATGGTCAGGCTGGCGATGAACATGCCTACGTCAGGCACAAACACTCGGATCCCATTGCCAGCGTCGGCTCCCTTTAAGCTATGGAGGGAACAAAAGGGAGGAGGAAATTCAGTTGTTTTGATGTTGCAATGGTTAAACCATCACAGAGTATGTATGAATACATCACCGAGTATGTATGTATGAATCACAGAGTATGTTCGAATCTTCTTAAGATTCAAAGAATGCTCAGTTTCTGCCTGGAAGGTATCAGAAAGCTTTTCTCTGACTCCAGTCTTTCACAATCTACTAAGACTCAGGAAGATTTCAGGGAGTTTCAGAAATAGCATGAAGAACCCGAAACCAACTCTCACTCCTAAAACGTACTGATGAACTAAACTGTTATTAAATATGCCACATGTCCAGGACAGAGACAGGTGTTTGTAATCCGGTGGGAGCAGTTAAAGACTGGATGTACACAAGCAGCCCTGGAAGTAAATCCAAGTTTAGAGGGAAAACAGAGGAGACATTAAAACCATCCTTGAACAGGAACCCTTCATTACTTTGAATGCTGAGTTGATTTTGTCTTCCATCTTGTTCCAAAAAAAGGCAGGTCATTAACAGAGAGCTCAGAAGATTTGGTCCCAATGTCAGCAGGACCTGGTGGCTATGTTTCACTGGGATCCTGTGCTCCCCTCTGCCCCAAAAAGATAACACTGTTGGTCTTCTTTATCACACAGGACTCAAATGAAAGTGACCCAACGTGTATCAGAGCTAAAACTTGTTTAGGGAAAAGCAGCAGAATATATGAAGTTATGTCATGTGAAGATACATATTTTTCAAATACACTTTATGTGATGAAATATATAGTCATCTACATTGAATATATGATGTATTTGGGTAAAAACATAATCAATAGCAAGACCTCTATCACCTAGAAATAACCATGTTGACATTTTAGTGAATTTAAAAAATCATATGATATTGCTTCTATGTGGAATCTAAAAAAAATGACACGAACTATTTACAAAACAGAAATAGACTCACAGACAAAGAAAACAAACTTCTGGCTACCAAAGGGGAAAGGTGAGGGGGAGGGATAAATTAGGAATTCGGGATGAACATATACACAGCATTGTACATAAAATAGATAAACAACAAGACCTATTGTATAGCACAGGGAACTCTACTCAACAGTTTGGAAACTATAAGAAACTACTATACACGCAATCTTAGAGTTAACAAAACTAGCCTCATACTTTACTGTTTTTGAAAATAATTTGTTCATTTAATACATCACTCACATCTTCACAACTCCCTGAAGATTTTTAAACCTTTACCACACTTACGGTCAGATAGTAGCTACTTAACTAGTCCACTACTGTTGCACCTTTAGAATATTACCATTTATTTGTTACCATAAAATGAGTGTGACTCAAGTCTTCATTAACTGAAGAGTCTCCTAATCCAGGATCTTCTAGGAAAAATTCCCCAGACCAGTCTGACTGGCTTTTTACAAAAACAGTCTGGACAAGGACCTCCCCATTAGAAGCCTAGGTTTTATACATGACTCTAATCTTCTCTGAACAGAGAAACATGGAAGTGATGAGACATCCCTTTACCTCCATAAATAAAACACACGTGGTTGTGTGAGAGATTTTAAGAAACGGAAAATTTCTTGCATTTGGGCTAAGAGTAAGAGAAATCAAATAGGAAAACTTTATCCAAACGTATAATACTGTGAAAACTTCATCTAGACTTTACAATTACTTATAAAATTCATAATCCAAATCCATAATGAGGAAATCTGATGATTGATTTCATCATAAGAAAACTGTAGAGGTTTTGCCTACTTTGCAAGTACACCTAACATGATCAGACAGAGCAAAGGAGGATTCATATCATCAGAACAAGAATTCGGAGATCAAGGAAACAGGCCAGGAGATGAAGGCCAGGCTGGACGGGGAGGTGTTTCCTGGGTGGGGCTGAGGTCGGGGGAGCCGGCAATCCCTCCTGAGTGGATTTGGGGGATAAATTACTGCAGCTCTTTTGCAGAAAACGAACTGACCATGGCATTTTATGAGAAGCACAAACCAAGCCGACTGGAGGGAGAGTTCTCTGAGGAACGTACCCAGAGTCCCACCCGGAGCAGTGGACCCAAGAGCCGGCTGTGCCTGCCCCCCTGCCCCCAACCCCAACCTGCACTCTGTACATGGCTCTCAATTTGCAAACAGCGGCTTCAAGTCAACAGCCTCAGCTTTGTGCTCCTAGGTCCCCAAGGAGACACTCGATCACCCACAAACATGAAGAGAGTAAATGAACCCCAACTGCAAAGCAATTACTCCCCAGCCATGACCGAATGCGGCTCCCAGAACCAGGACTGGGCTGTGGTCCAGCTCAGAGTGGAATCCGTCAGCCACAGAGGTGGCAACCTGTTACCTGCTGCTGTTGCCCGAGCTCACAAAGCAGCACATTGAGATCTGCCAGCCCACGGGCTCCAGGAGCCTCCAGAAGACGACAGTGCGGGCCGTGGACAATGACCAGGTCAGAGTCCACTTGACACCTCCCATGGGGACCATATTATCACTACAGTCTCCGTCTTCGCTGTCTAGACCAGAGTCTACTGAAGCACATTCATCAGAGTGCTAGTCCTCAGAAATATTGTGAATTAAAGCAAAACATGACCAAAAAAACTGCCTCTGGTAAAACAGTTAGACAATCACAACAGTTATTATTATAGTGAAGAACTTGAGAAGTTCTGCAGAAAAACAATAAATTGGAGTTTATGTGAACCTCTGAGCTTCCCAGGTGGCTCAGCAGGAAAAGAACCCACTCGCAACACAGGAGACACAGGAATCATAGGTTCGATCCTGGGGTCAGGAAGATCCCCTGGAGAAGGGTATGGCAACCCACTCCAGTATTCTTGCCTGGAGAATCCCATGGACAGAGGAGCCTGGTGGACTACAGTCCATATGGTCGCAAAAGAGTCGGACACAGCTAAAGCAACTGAGCTCACAAGCAAATCTCTGCTTCCCAAATTTACCTAAGCACAAACCATTTCTTAAAAGTTTTATCTAATATCTATTACATTCTGCCAAGCTACTGCTCAGGGCACGGGTTTTAGAAAATGCTGAGCTGGAGTCTCTTCATTGGTCTAGATTTTTGATCACAATGAATGAATACTTGGGAAATTGTACTTAGATGTAACTAATCCTCATATATTTGGTTTTGAATAAGCCCCTAATAACTACAGTGCCTTTCTTAGGCATTGGAATGAAAACTGACCTTTTCCAGTCCTGTGACCACTGCTGAGTTTTCCAAATTTGCTGGCATGTTGAGTGCAGCACTTTCACAGCATCATCTTTCAGGATTTGAAATAGCTAAACTGGAATTCCATCACATCCACTAGCTTTGTTCGTAGTGATGCTTTCTAAGGCCCACTTGACTTCACATTCCAGGATGTCTGGCTCTAGGTGAGTGGTCCCACCATCGTGATTAACTGAGTCATGAAGATCTTTTTTGTACAGTTCTTCTGTGTATTCTTGCCATCTCTTCTTAATATCTTCTGCTTCTGTTAGGTCCATACCATTTCTGTCCTTTATCGAACCATCTTTGCCTGAAATGCTCCCTTGATATCTCTAATTTTCTTGAAGAGATCTCCAGTCTTTCCCATTCTGTTGTTTTCCTCTATTTCTTTGCATTGATCGCTGAGGAAAGCTTTCTTATCTCTCCTGGCTATTCTTCGGAATTCTGCATTCAAATGCAGAGTTTTCATTCCAATCCCTAAGAAAGGCAATCCCAAAGAATGCTCAAACTACTGCACAATTGCACTCGTCTCACATGCTAGTAAAGTAATGCTCAAAATTCTCCAAGCCAGGCTTTAGCAATACATGAACCGAGAACTTCCAGATGTTCAGGCTGGTTTTAGAAAAGGCAGAGGAACCAGAGATCAAATTGCCAATATCCGCTGGATCATTGAAAAAGCAAGAGAGTTCCAGAAAAACATCTATTTCTGCTTTATTGACTACGCCAAAGCCTTCAACTGTGTGGATCACAATAAACTGTGGAAAATTCTGAAAGAGATGGGAATACCAGACCACCTGACCTACCTCTTGAGAAACCTCTATGCAGGTCAGAAAGCAACAGTTAGAACTGGGCATGGAACTACAGACTGGTTCCAAATAGGAAAAGGAGTACGTCAAGGCTATATATTGTCACCCTGCTTATTTAACTTATATGCAGAATACATCATGAGAAACGCTGGGCTGGAAGAAGCACAAGCTGGAACAAAGATTGCTGGGAGAAATATCAATAACCTCAGATATGCAGATGACACCACCCTTATGGCAGAGAGTGAAGAGGAACTGAAAAGCCTCTTGATGAAAGTGAAAGAGGAGAGTGAAAAAGTTGGCTTAAAGCTTAACATTCAGAAAACTAAGATCATGGCATCTGGTCCCATCACCTCATGGGAAATAGATGGGGAGACACTGGAAACAGTGTCAGACTTTATTTTGGGGGGCTCCAAAATCACTGTGGATGGTGACTGCAGCCATGAAATTAAAAGACACTTACTCCTTGGAAGGAAAGTTATGACCAACCTAGATAGCATATTAAAAAGCAGAGATATTACTTTGCAAACAAAGGTCCGTCTGGTTAAGGCTATGGTTTTTCCAGTGGTCATGTATGGATGTGAGAGTTGTACTGTGAAGAAAGCTGAGCGCTGAAGAATTGATGCTTTTGAACTGTGGTGTTGGAGAAGACTCTTTGAGAGTCCCTTGGACTGCAAGGAGATCCAACCAGTCCATCCTAAAGGAGATTAGTCCTGGGTGATCATTGGATGGACTGATGCTGAAGCTGAAACTCCAATACTTTGGCCACCTCATGCGAAGAGTTGACTCGTTGGAAAAGACCCTGATGCTGGGAGGGATCAGGGGCAGGAGAAGTGGATGACAGAGGATGAGATGGCTGGATGGCATCATCAACTCGATGTGCATGAGTTTGAGTAAACTCCGGGAGTTGGTGATGGACAAGGAGGCCTCACGTGCTGCAATTCATGGAGTCACAAAGAGTCGGACACGACTGAGCGACTGAACTGAACTGAA